AGAGAGAGAGAGAGAGAGAGAGAGAGAGAGAGAGAGATCGTCTCTTGCATCTCTTCTGGTAAGGTCACTAATCCCATCACCATGGTACCACCCTCGTGCCTAATCACCTCCCAAAGGCCCCACCTCTTAACACCATTACACCAGGGTCGGGGACACAAATATTCAGTCCATAGCATACGGTTCTAGATGCACTGGAGGTCTGGAATCGCTTCCGTCGTTCTTCTTGGTTGCTCATCGCTTGAGTCCCCTCTCGGTGTCTCCAGTGTGACGAGTTCTCTGCTGTATGAATCTCTGTGGGCGTCAGAGTGCACCTGCCATCGTGGCCAAAGGAATCGCCTTTCTTGCAGGGAGGCGAGACCTAGGCTTTGCCAACCTCACACACAGCCCTTGGGTTTGAAGGGGCCCAGAAGCAAGGACTTCAGAGGATTCTCTGCAGTGCATGACTGTGTCCCCGGCGTGGTGGCGGCTGCGGTGAGGCAGCAAGACGGAGGTCCCATGGCAGCTGGGGCGGCAGTGCATCCTGGGTCTGCTGCTTGGGGCCACTGCTGACCGGGACCTGGGAGCCAGTTCTGCTGTGGGATGTGCGGGTTTCTGGACTCGCTCCCTAGATCTTTTAGTGATTCCGTGAGGTACTTCATTTCCTTTAAATAAATTACTCTTTCTGCTTAGGTCAGCCAGAGTCGATTGCTGTTGCTAATGATCCTACCTAATGAATTGCTATGTTCCAGACAGCAAACAAACATCAAAGGACCCCAAAGGCCTTGTGTCAGGAATGTCCGTCTATAACACTAGCTCTGGCTTGTTGAGGATGTATTTTTGCCTGCTGTTCTAAGTTGTAAGGCGACAGTCTCTGTAAAGCGGTCATGTTTCAGATCCACCTTGCCAGACGGTCCCTAAGCCTGGTAGGACTGGGTGCCCCGGGGCGGTGAGTCTTCCCCAAGGACCTGGGCCGTGCTGACTCATGAATGGAGTCCTGCCTTGCACCGCATCTAAGAACAGAGGCCAGCGTTCTTCTTGGTCTCTTCTAGAGTCCCTTCCAAGGGCCTAGCTTTGCTTCTTTTCTCCTGACTTGCAAGAGTGTTACAATGACCTCTGCGACGCCTAATGTTCTCCCAATTTCGGCTTTTCACTTCCAAAGCCGAGACCTTCCTCTGGACCCTTCCCACTCCAAATTTTTCAGGTGCTGGCCTGGACTCAGGACCTGCTCACTGGTTCTCTGTTCTCTCCTCAAGACACCCCTGCTTCTGCCCCTGTTCCCCTCCCCGCATCTGTGTCCCATGAAAGCTCTCCTCCCTGGGTTCCCGGTGATGTTGCCACCTTGCAGCATACCCCGACTTTCAGCAGGGGCCAAAGGGGTGCATATTAACAGGCACCAAGGAGTCCTTGCTTCTGTGGCATCGTCCCATCCTGGCCAGCATCTCCTTATGTGTTCCTGCTGTGACAAATGCTTACCCTGGAGGCAGAAAACAGACAAAGGTCAAAATCAAGGGCCTAGGTTGACAACTGTAGTTTTCTCAGGTTACCTAGAATGAGCAGGAATGAGAAATTGCATTTCAGGAATTAGAAAAAGAAGATGAAGAAAGTAGAGCCTTAAGGCAGAGAGAGAGAGAGAGAGAGAGAGAGAGAGCGCGCGCAACATCAAGCCCAAATCTGATATATCGGACACTTAATGTTAGATACCAAGATGAAATACCCTAAAAGCTATTTGATGAGGTTTTTGGGGTGATAGTGGGGTTCGTGGGGTCCGGAGCCAACGACCTAGAAAGAATTCTTGGAAACGTCTTTGGTGCATAAAGGTGATTTTATTAAAGCACAGACAGGGGCGCCTGGGTGGCTCAGTCGGTTGGGCGTCCGACTTCGGCTCAGGTCATGATCTCGCAGTCCATGGGTTCGAGCCCCGCGTCGGGCTCAGTGCTGACAGCTCAGAGCCTGGAGCCTGTTTCAGATTCTGTGTCTCCCTTTTTCTCTGACCCTCCCCTGTTCATGCTTTCTCTCTCTCTCTGTCTCAAAAATAAATAAATGTTAAAAAAAAAAAAATTAAAGCACGGAGACAGGACCCATGGGCAGGAAGAGCTGCCCCGGGACCATAAGGAGAGACTGGGTATATCCTATGGGGTTGAGGTAGGTAAAGTCCAGGGGTAGTTTCCAGTGAGATTTTCATATGCTAAAGAAGACTCCCAGGATACTGGAGGCCTAGCTATTGTCAAGCTAAGGTTGTTTTTCCCTCTAGCAAAGCATTAACATTAAGACGTGGGGAGTTCCTAGAGAAACTGCCAGCCTCAGGTTAGAAGGTTAGAAGGAAATTTAGTTCTGTCTGCCATTTCCTTCTGCCTTTGTTTCCCACGGCACTATGGAGGGGTGATGAAGAATTTTAGGTCCTTCCAGGTCTATGATTTCTATCAGTTAACCATTTCTTTTTCCCCTTTTCTTCGTTCTTGGACAGCCAGGAGTGTCCGAGGAATATCACACATATCCCACCTGGGGGTGGGGGTGTTTGTGGCCTGTCCCCTTGCCTTCTGCTCCCTCATCACTGTTGACATCCAGAAATCCTTGTGAGGAGCTTGGTAATTTGAAATGATTACTATGCAAGATAAATGAAAAGGAAAACTTTAGTTTCTTAAGGTTGGGAACAGAACTCCAATGTAATCATTTATGCTTCCGGTCAAAGTACTCAGCCTCCACTTATCCACTGTGATCAACTCACTGGCTGCAATGCAATTGTTTTTACATTTACCTTTGGATCTAAGCCCTTAATCCAATCAGCGGTTGAGACAGGTAGGAAACACATGTCTTCTCTAGTTAAAGAGAGGCCCGTCTACTAAGTTAGAAATCACAGTAGACTTGCAGCCCGTATTATTTTAATCGTGTCGGCTGTAAGAGTCTCTGCGTGTTTGGCTCTGATGAAATCGGTCTAATGAAGTAAGGCTCAAGTAGTTTTAATTAGTTTGTGCGAAAATGTAGACGTTTCACGCTGTTTTGTGTGGGCTCATCTCTGAGAAAAAGAGCAATCCATCTTTTTCTCGCCCCCCCCCCCATTTCCTGATTATCCAGCTCTCAGTAGAACATTATCTCTTACCTACTTACCAATTTGGTAAGAGAAAGTTGGATGGCTTTACCAGCAGGTGTTGTAAAACTCTAAAATTAGGATCATTGAAACTCGATATAGCAGCAAATTAGGCCCTGTAGTGCCAGAAAGTTTTGAATGTTCCCTAAAATTGTTCCCCAAATGTCTTTGTTTTCTGGAATGCACCGAAGCCCATTTGTTCCTGACACACTGGATATGAAAGAGGCCCCTGGGCTTCCTCTTGATGGAACACATCAGGCTGTGAATAAATTACTTCTCAAAACTTGGCTGAGTTTTGCACTCTAGAAGCAATCTGTAAGAGTTTTAAAGTTGCGTGGCCTTTGTGAGATACTGCAGAGAGCTGGCTTTAAGAATTAGCCAAGAAAAAAAAACATAAGTATGCCTTTCTTAATCAAGTAGATTCAGATTCAGGGTATTTTAAGTCTGTCTCTGAAGGACTGTTGAAAAGTCTCCATGACCTTCGAGAAGCATCGGGGCAAAAGAAAAAAAAATTGCTTGGGGGTTATTTTGTATTTATATTTCAATTGGTTGTAAATCAAGCTCTCGCCCAGCTTTCTTACTCAATGATTGCTGTTAGGTTAGATTAAAAAAAATGTTTTTTAAATGTTCGTTTATTTTTGAGAGAGACAGAGAGACAGAGTACAAGCAGGGGAGGGGCAGAGAGAGAGGGAGACAGAACCCGAAGCAGGCTCCCAGGCTCTGAGCTGTCAGCACAGAGCCCAACGTGAGGCTCCAACTCATGGACCTCGAGAGCATGACCTGAGCTGAAGTTGGAAGCTTAACTGGCTGAGCCAACCCGGGTGCCCCTACGTTGCATTGTTGATCATTCTTCTGGCTTAGAATTCCATATCCAGTTTGAGTATCAGAACCTGAGTTAGCGGGCTATTCAGGCTTCTTAGTTTGCAAACGGAGACCACCTCTGGTTAGTTTAGGCAGAAATGGAAGTTATTAAATGGCTATCAGAGAGCTCAGAAGGGACAGGGAGGCTGGAGAAAAATAGAAATGAAGCAATAGAGAAAGACCAGAGGGTCAGAGCCCCAGAGCATGCCCCATGGAGAGGCTGGCTGGGGCCACTCTACGGCACCAGGGGAAGCTAGGTGCCCTTTGCAGACCACAGCTGACACCACCATCAGGGGAGACTTCTTCGAGGGGGGTCCTGATTCCGTGCATCATTTCCTCTAGAGTAAAATCCAGGGGGATCATCCAGTTGTCTAAGGCCTAGTCCCACCCCCAAGCCGCAGCTATCGGGGCCAGGGGAAGACAAGTGTCCACATTTGAATTTGAGGCTTCCGTGGTGAGATGGCATTTTACCAACTACCAAGAGTCACACGATGAATGGCGGATTCCAGAACCACAGGAAGGGTGTTCTGATGATGAGAAGCCAGAAAAGAAAAGAAAAGAAAAGAAAAGAAAAGAAAAGAAAAGAAAAGAAA